CTCCTGTAGTTGCAGCTACTTGGAAGGCTGAGGCGGAAGGATCGCCGGAGCCCAGCATGTCGAGGCTGCGGTGGCCGGGAGCGGCCACTGCACTCCAGTCTGGGTGACAGAGTGAGATGCCAACTCAAAAAAAATAAAAGAAAAGAATGAAAGCTACCGCTGAGTAAGGGCTCACCACGTCCTAGGCTGGTGCCAGACGGTCATCATGGACTTAATCCTCAGAACAGCTTCTCAGGGGTGACAAGGTTAAGTGACTTGGTCCAAGTCACACCGAGATGCAAACCCAGGCCATTCCAGGGCCACACCCTCAGCCTTAGACCACATGGCCCCCTAAGCTTCAGGCCTAGGCCCAGGGAGCTCTGGGTTTCAGGGTCACAGGGGTGGGAGGCGATCCCCAAACCCCCGTCCCCTCTGCTCTCACAGGTCAAAACACAGCTGCAGGCCCAGACGGTGGCCGCGATGGCCGTGGGACACCAGCACAATCACCAGGTGAGGCCTGTCACTCCCATGCCTCCTGTGCGTGGCCGGCCGGGCAGGGGCCATCCAGTAACCGCATGCCCTCTCCCTGCAGAGCGTTCTGGGTGCCTTGGAGACCATCTGGCGGCAGCAGGGCCCGTCGGGACTGTGGCGGGGCGTGGGTGGGGCTGTGCCCCGAGTCATGGTGGGCTCGGCTACCCAGTTGGCCACCTTCACCTCCGCCAAGGCCTGGGTGCAGGAGCGACAGGTGAGGGGCCGGAGACAGCTGCGCCCGCCCACACGGGCACTCAGGAGGGGGGAGGACCCCCTGCTTCCTTCCATACAGGGAAGTCTGGGGGTGGCAAGGACGGGGCCCCAGCTCTTGGGCCCAGCAGGAGTGGGGGCGTTAGAAGTGAACCCCAGAGCTGTGAAGGAGCTCAGGGTGGTGGGTGTCGGGGGTTGGTTGGAGGGGCCTCACCTGCCCCACTTTCCACAGCCCTCCCATCCCCCGCATGCTAGGGGTGGAGCAGGTTCCAAGTGGGTGGGTCGAGGGCAGTTGCAGGCGTCAGCAGCCTGTGCCATCCCCACAGTGGCTCCCAGAGGACAGCTGGCTGGTGGCCCTGGCTGGGGGCATGATCAGCAGCGTTGCCGTGGTCGCTGTCATGACGCCCTTCGACGTGGTCAGCACGCGGCTGTACAATCAGCCAGTGGACGGAGCTGGAAGGGTGAGCAGGGGTGGGCGGGAGGAAGGAGTGGGAAACGGGGAGCTGGGAGCCCACCCCCAACACACACACACACACACACACACACACACACACACACACACACACACACACACACACGCAGCCAAAGACACGCAGACACGTAGGCTTGCTTGCTGAGCCCTGAGACCCAGGCACGGGCTAAGCCCTTCCACATTCGGGTTTTATTCCATCCTTCCAACCACCTTCGTTTTCCTGGTGAGGAAACTGAGGCTCAGAGAGATCAGGTGACTTGCCTGAGGTCACTCAGTGGGTAAGTGGAGGAGCCCAAACCGGAATCCAGGCCTGCCCCCAGCCTTCCCGTGGCACTGTGGCCTCACAGATGTGCCCCATACACCAGGTAAGTTGGGGTGAAATCAACCCATGTGTCACAAGCTGAGCCGAACCCCGTGACATAAAGCTGTGACTGCCTGGAGGAAGAGGCCCCTTCTTCCAATGTCACAGCCTAGAGGGTCACCTTTTAGTGATCTGCCCAGCAGGGGTGGGTCCCCTTTCTGATGTGCCTGCAGAAGCCTTGAACACACAGATAGCCTGGCTGTGCCAGCCAGGGCCCCGTGGCCTGTGGAGTGACGCCCACCCCATGTCTGTCCCCAGGGCCAGCTATACAAGGGCCTCGCCGACTGCCTGGTGAAGATCTGGAGGCAGGAGGGCCCCCCCGCGCTCTACAAGGGCCTGGGCCCCGCCTACCTGCGCCTGGGTCCCCACACCATCCTCAGCATGCTCTTCTGGGACGAGCTGCGGAAGCTGGCCGGGCGGGCCCAGCACCAGGGCACCTAGGCCACGTCCCACCCCTCATGTCCTGACACAGCCCGGCGCTTGGCCGGAAGTGACAACCTGCTCCCCAGGGACTGGCTGTCCCAGAGCAGGTCACAGGCCCAGGCCCTGCCACAGGCCCAGGATGCGTGTGGGCAGCTCGGAGCCACTCAGTCCCAGGGCCCCATCCAGCCTCCGGGCCCACCCAGGGCCAGAGCATCCAGGCACCCACCCACTCTGCTCTCCAGAAAGTTCTCTCCCTTCTCTGTATGGGGTCACCGCCTCCCAGAGTCTTACTCATGGTTTTAACAACTGCTGCGGGCATGGCTGTCTCCATGAGCGAGTGACTACCCACATCAGCTCACTTAGTCCTCGAATAACAGCATGAGACAGGTCACATTCTCATTGACCGTATGGAAGCTGAGGCTGAGAGAGGTGACACGGCTTTGACCAAAGCCACAGAGCTTTGAAGTGGCAGAGCCAGGACTGGAACTCGGCTCTGCCCCCTGAGACCTGTGCCCTTGACAAGGGCACTGCTGTGCCAGGACCACGAGGCTGGAGTGCCCTTGGGGAGGTGCACCATGGGGCTGTGGGGCTGTCATCTGTCTTTTTCATGGAGGCTACCATGTCAGAGTCCCACAGCCAGGGAGACTTCATGGAAACTGACTTCCTCGCAGTTCTGGAGGCCGGGAGCCTGAGACCAGGGCTGGTTTCTTCCGAGGCCTCTCTCTGTGGCTTGGGAATGCCACCTGTCCCTGTATCTGCACGAGGTCATCCCCCCGTGTGTCTATGTCCTGATTTCCTCTTCCGATAGGCACCAGTCATGCTGGATCAGGGCTACCCTCACGACCCCATTCTAACTATCTCCATGAAGACCCCGTCTCCAGACATGGTCACATCCTGCGGTACTGGGGTTAGGACTTCAGCATGTGAATGGTGGGGGACACAATTCAACCCATCACATCATCCAAGGGCTCTCACTGAGGGCCGCCCGGGCGCCCAGCACTGTGGGCATTTGCACATAGCCTGACAGTTCTGAAAGGGAGTTCTGGGGTCCCCGCTGTTCAGATGAGGTGACGGCGGCCCAGGGAAGGGAAGTGCCAAGCCCAAGGTGAGAAGCAGGGTGGAGCTGACAGCAGGCAAGTCGCAGATCTGGGCCCTCTCTCCAGCCTAGCAGGAGACTCGAATCACTGCACCAACCTTTGGACTGCAGAGGTGGACGGAACTCCCTGGAAGGGGCAGGACTGGCCCGGTACCAACCGCTGTCCCTGCCACACCCATGTCCCAAGGGCTGCTCCCAGGAACACCCCCCACCGCACACTCCAATAAAGTTTTCTATTTTGTCTTACCTCAACAACTCACTTTCGTCACCAGCCTCAGTCTCCCCATCCCTGAGCCCCAGCCCTTGGCTCTCTCCCCTCTGGGCAAGGAGGATAGGAAAGGTGGCTACCTGGCCAGCCCGGTCCAGTCTGGCCCAGGTGAGGCCTGCCACCTAGTGGGCACAGGGTGGAACGTCAAGAAGGGCGGCCCACGGCCCGAGGGAGGTGAGGGCCCAGGCAGGATTTGGGAAGAATGGATCCCAACCTCAGGCTGCGGGAGATTTCCTGTTGGGCCAGAGCTAGACCTGAGGCTTTGGGAAGCTGGAACCAAACCTCACAAAGGGCCAGCAGAGCCTGTCCTCAGGCTTTGAGTCCCAGACCTCAGGTTGAGAGGGCAGAACCTGACCTCAGGCTGCGGAGCGGGGGTGGGGGGAATAGAGACCCAGACCTCAGGCTGTGGGAGTTAGAGTCCCAGACCTCAGGCCGTGGGGGAAAGAGCCCTAGACCTCAGGCTGAGAGGGCAGAGCCTGACCTCAGGCTGTACGGGATAGAGTCCAAGACCTCAGGCTGTGGGGGATAAAGCCTCCACTTCCTGGCCTTGGGCTGAGAGGGCAGAGCCCACACTTCAGGCTGAGAACAGGACCCAGACCTAAGATGGGCGGGACAGATGAAGCCTGGGGCTTTGGGGGAGGCATCGGGTGGTTCAAGCCTTCGGGGAGGGCTAAAAAAAGTGGACTTCAGCAGGGACAGAGATCAGACACTCAGCTGAGAGCTACACACGCTTCACCCCACGCTGCCCAGATGGAGCAGTCAGCTCCTGACACCCCAGTGCCAAGAGCTGTGGCCTCACCTTCCTGGGGCTTGGAAGGGTTAAGGCCCTGGCTCTCCTCCCCTCCCCTCCCCTGGGCCTTTGACCCCTCCTTGTCCCTCCCCTCCGCTGACACCTTTGCCCAGTGACGTGGGTTTGTCCCTGCAGACCTGGCCGGAGGCTGGGGCTGGAGCAGGGCTGCCATGTTCTCCCTGCCGTCACTCCCCTCCTGGCTCCCGGGCCTCCCCTCCCTCGAGTGGGGCTCCAGCCTCCTTGACTCCCTCCTGCAAGGTGAGCACCTGGCCCCATTCCCGCCTGAGCCCCGCCCCCCCAGCTCCAGGCAGTGCAGGGTGGGTGCCCTACCCCACCCACCGGGACCTCCGCCACCCCGCCCCTTGGCTGTCCCCTCCTCTGACC